AAACTTGTCCTTCTGAAATAATTATCTACGTCTCTCTTAAAAGTTGTTATCGAATCGCCTTCCGCCAGCCTTTCAACCAATGCATTCCAGATCCCAACAACTCGCTGCGTGAAATAATTTCTTCTTACCTCCCCCCTCTGTTTCTTTTAACAACTATTTTAAATCGATGTCCTCGGGTTACCGACCCACCCGTCAGTGGAAATAATTTCTCCTTCACCCTATCGAATCCCCCCATAATTTTGAAAACTTACTATTAAGTCTCCCTTTAACCTTCTCTACTCCAAGGAGAATAATCCTGATAACTGAAGTCCCTCATTCCTGGTACCATACTGGTAAATCTCCTTTACACCGTCGCCAACGCCTTGACATCCTTCCTAAGGTGTGGAGCCCAGAACTGAACGCAGTCTCTCGCTGAGGCCTAACCAGTGTTTTATAAAGGTTCATCATAACATCCTGAATTTTGTATTCTGTGCCCCTATTTATAAAGCCCAGTATCCCGGATGCTTTTTTAACAGCTGTATCTACCTGTTCTGCCATCTTCAAAGATTTCCTTATATGACCCCCAGGTCTCTCTGTTCCTTCACCCCCTTTAAGATTGAGAGGGGAGAGAGTGTGTGTGAGAATGAGGGGGAGTGAAGAGTAATTGAGAGGGGGACCAGCTGTGCAGTTTCCTCATAGAAAGCTCCCTCTTTCCCCAGTGAGAAACTACTCTACGTCCATCATTCCCTTGTCCCCAATCCTACCTCTGTGACCTCCTGACCTGAGGTAGGATTGGGGATTCCTTTTGTGATGGTGAAGTTCCCCTGCAGCAGCACGGTCACCAAGAGTCGCGGTGGTCGTTTCCCCCGGACCACGCTGAGGGTCTGTAGGGTGACCACCACTTAGCCCAGGCCCTGTGATACCGCACCCCAGCCAGGAACAGTCAGGTAGAGACGCAGCGCGAGGCGTTACACTTGCTGAGCACCTTTAGGGTCCCTACTATCAAAGACATTTTTAAAATTTTTACTGTCCCCTTCGCTCGTGGCCTCATCTCCCGACCCCTTCTGGAGGTTTGAGAAAAGGTTCACGAAATGTGCTTTGCCTTCGTGGCTCCACTCATTTATGGTTTCCCCTCGCACCACCCTTTTGTTTCTCTTTGATTTTGGTCCGAATTCCGTTCTCTGGGCTTTACCATCTGTTTTATCTCTGGTGTTTCTTGCCGGCTATCTGCCATTGTTCTTCTCTCACTGTTTTTTCTTGGGGGCTATGAGGTCCACATCCTCGCTGTCTTCCTACTCGCTGGAAAAAGAGTCATTCTCTTATTCCAAGGAGGTGTAAGTGTAGGGGTTGTCTCTCCCCGGCTGTTCCTATTTTCTCTGACCAACTCTTTTCTCTGCTGCTGTGGCGCCCCCCGATGGTTTCTGTTGTTGTTGCCCCGGGATGGGGGTGAGGTTGATGTTGTTTTGCCCATTGGCTGCTGATTCTCCTCGGTCACATGGAGCCAGTCTGGGTTTCGTTTCGGGGCTGACTGATTTCCAATCCTCCTGGGGCAGGATTTGTAGTGGTGTAGAGGTCACAGTGTTTGGCCGTGTGGCAGATTTTTGGTTTGTGCCCCACCTGTTTACAGTTCCAGCACTACAGGCCGCCGGGTATTGCCACAGCTGTTGCCCCAACTGTGCACAACCCATTCAACAAGGTGCCACATAAAGGGCTACTACACAAGATTAGTGCCCATGGAATTAAAGGCAATATATTAGCATGGATCAATAGTGGCTAACGGGAAGAAAGGATATTCTCGCCTTAGAGGGGGAGCAGCGTAGGTTGGTTCCTGGGATGGGATGAGGGGTTTGACCTATGAGGAGAGGTTGAGTAAACTAGGGCTATATTCTCTAGAATATCGAAGATTTAGGGGTGATCTTGTAGAAACATATAAGATTTTTATGGGGCTTGGCAGAGTAGACAGTGTGAGACTGTTTCCCCTGGTAGGAGAATCTATAACCAGGGGTCACAATCTTAAGATTAAGGGACAGCCTTTTAGAACAGAGTTGAGGAAACACTTCTTCACTCAGAGGGTAGTGAATCTATGGAATTCTCTACCCCAGAAGGCTGTAGGTACTCAGTCCTTGAACATACTCAAGACTGAGATTGATAGATTTCCAAAGGATAGAGGGATTAAGGGATATTGGGATAAAGCGGGCAGATGGAGTTACGTCAGAAGATCAGCCATGATCTTATTGAATGGTGGGACAGGCTCAAGGGGCTGAATGGCCTACTCCTGCTCCTAATTCCTATGTTCCTATGTTCCATCACTCTCACCCCATTACTCTCACCCCTTCATCCTCACCCCTCACCCCATCCCTCACCCCATCCCTTGTCCCATCCCTCGCCCCATTTCTCCTCCATCACCCTCACCCATTCACTAACTCCATCACACTAACCCCATCCTTCACCCCATCCACCACCCCATTGCTCACGCCAGCATCTTTACCCCATTCCTCACCCCATTAACTTCACACCATTCCTCACCCCATCACTTTCACCCCATCCCTCACCCTATCCCTCACCCATTCCCTCACCTCATCACTCTCACCCCATCACTCTCACCCCATTCCCTCACCCATCCCTCTCCATCACCCTCATGCCATCCCTCAGCCACCCCATTACCCTTACCATATCCCTCACCCCATCACTCTCACCCCATCACTCTCACGCCATCCCTCACCCCATCACCCTCACCCATCCCTCACCCCATATCTCACCTTATCAACCTCACCCCACTACCCTCACTCCATTCCCTCACCCCATTCCCTCACCCATCCCTCTCTCCATCACCCTCATGCCATCCCTCAGCCACCCCATTACCCTTACCATATCCCTCACCCCATCAGCTTCACCCCATCAGCCTCACCCCATCTCCCTCACCCCATCAGCCTCACCTCATCACCCTCACTCCATCCCTCACCCCGTCACCTTCACAAAACACAGTCACTACACTTTACGGTGTATCCTGTGAAGCATTTTGTGGCATCTCGAAGACGTGATAAGGTGCTGTATCAAATGCAAAGATTATTATTATCGCTCTCCACGTCACAAAACGTGTATCTCTCTGTTTTTACCTCTCTTTGTATAAGTCATCTTAATCATCTCCTAACTCTTATCAGTGTCATCATCACACACTCTCTCTGTATCTGTGCGTCTCTATCTGTCTCTCTCTCTCTGAGTCGATCTCACGCACACTCTGTCACACAGTCCGTCAGTGTCACACTCTATCTCTCTCAATTTCATACTGTCTGTCTGTCTGTCTGTCTGTTTATCTGTCTCTCTGTCTCTCTGTCTCTCTGTCTGTCTCTGTCTGTCTGTCTCTCTGTCTATCTCTCTGTCTGTCTATCTGTTTGTCTCTCTGTCTGTCTCTCTGTCTGTCTGTGTGGCTGTCTGTCTGTGTGTCTGTCTGTCTATCTATCTGTCTGTCTGTGTGTCTGTCTGTGTGTCTGTCTGTCTGTGTGTCTGTCTGTGTATCTGTCTGTGTGTCTGTCTATCTGTCTGTCTGTGTGTCTGTCTGTCTGTGTGTCTGTGTACGTCTGTGTGTCTGTCTGTGTATCTGTCTGTGTGTCTGTCTGTGTGTCTGTCTGTGTGTCTGTCTGTCTGTCTGTGTGTCTGTGTGTCAGTCTCTCTCTCTCTCAGTGACATCATCGCACACTGTGACATCAGCAGTCCGAGTCTGGTCCCTGGATACCGTTGCTAAGGCACCGAGTAACAGTCTCTAGTTACTCCGTGACATCATCACAGCGTTAGTTGGGGAGGGACAGAGTGTGTGACAACAACAACAACAATATCCTGCTTCACAGGATATACTCTAAATTGTAGTGACTGTACATTTTGTGGGTGAAAGGCAGCAGCCAATTGCGCAAAGCAGTGTCCCACAAACAGTCATGGATTTGAGCGACCAAATTATATAATATATTTTTGAAGGGAGTATTACCCTCGGGAAAAGCGATCTGCCAGTCGACTAACAACCGGGTTCCTACTTACTATTAGGTAAACAGAGGCATGTGTGTATCTAGAGTAAGGTTTCACCCTGACCAGCCCAGGAATCAAACTAGGTCCTCTCGCTTGTGAGGCGTGTGCTCTAACCATCACGCCACAGGGACCTAAATTTAATGGCATTACTCTCCCCACCCCATTCTCTTGCTCTCCAAAAATATTAGACAAAAAACGGTATATATATATATAAATCAACTTTCCTGTAGTAACAGTACATTATGAAGAGTGGCATTACCCAGACACACAGATACACACACAGAACGCCAGGGACACACGTCAGAGAGACAGAGAGAGTTTGTTGCTTGGGAGACACAAATCCCTTAGTAACGATTGCTAGGGGCAAATTCCTGGTTCTAGACAAGAATCTGGTCCTCAGATCCGGTTGCTAAGAGTCAAGACGCCTGGTAACAGTTGCTATTTACTCTGTGACCGTCACCACACACTGATGAGAGTGTGTGAGATCACAGAGAGAGCTGCGGGTGGGGCTACAGAGAGAGGAGAGGGTGAGACACAGAGACACTGACTGTAGCACAGTTGTTAGGGAGAATTTGGTTGCTAGGGAGCGATGGGGACCCTAGTAATAGTTGCTAGGGTAGATTCCTAGTAACTAGGGTCAGACTGGCCCCTGGTAACAGTTGTGAGGGGACCGCTAGATAGATTGGTAAGAGGGAACGAGTTGCTGGGCAGTGATGGAGACCTAGTAACAGATGGATATGGTCGCTAAGGAGGAATATGGTTGCTAGGGAGAGAGCTCGCTGCCACATCACAGCCCTGGGGGCGGGGCTAGAGTGGCGGGTTTGTGACGTCACAGAGACCTGGGCTGGGCTAGAGTGGGGAGCGTGTGATGTGAAACAGAGGGCGGAGCCAGAGCGAATGAAGCGTGAGGTAGTGAGTGATGTCATCTTTCTGTGACGTCATTCCAGTGACGTCACCTAGCTAATGGGGGGGGGTTCTACGTAGGCACAGGGAGGAACGAGGAGAGCGTGTGACGTACGAGCCAGTGAGTCTGACGTCCCACAGATGGGGGGAGCCAGCGAGTCTCCCTCTCCTTGCCACTCTCGGAGGCAGAGCGTGTGACGCGCGTTGGGGGGGGGGCGGAGCGAGAGAGGAGAGAGCGTGTGACGTACATACGTACGTGGCAGCAGCGAGACGCAGGGAGAGAGGGAAGTGTCTGTGACGCAGCGCCTCGACCGTCGACATAAACACGGAGAGAGCGAGGCTGAGGCCTAGAGCAGGTGAGAGACACAGACCCTGACACCAGGCTCCAGCCCCACTAGGCCTCTTCCCCACTCCCCGCAGCCCCTCAGCTCCTCCCTCTCCTTGCCCTCTCTCTCTCTCTCTCTCTCTCTCACACACACATCCGCTGATTGGCCGCCGCTTTCGCCCCACGAAGAGAGAAAGGGAGAGAGGCCTCTGGCAACGCGGCAACGATTGGCCGCACGCCGCACCGCCGCCGATTGGCTTCACAGCCGTCAATCTGCCCAGTAACTGGGCCGCTGTGTGACATCACAAATGCAGGCCCGCGGGCCACACTGCCTCCCGATTGGCCGAATAACGGCCACTCTGGCTCTCGCGGGGTCCGCACAGCGCCTCTGATTGGCTCAGATGTCTGTCATTCTTTGACGTGACACCGGGCCGTGGCTCGCACAGGCGCTGTCAATCTGCCTAGTAACAGGTCGCTGATTGGTTCCGGCCCGTGGGCCGCACAACAACTGCTCTCACCCCTCGCGGGAGACCGAGACACTGAGCCTCTGATTGGCTCCAGCTTCCTGTCAATCTGCCTAGTGTGACGTCACCGGCTCCTGTTCGCGGGTTGCTCGGTCTCCGATTAGCTGAGCTTTCTCGTCCCTCCCACACACAGAGCCTCTGATTGGCTCCTGCCAATCTGCCTACCAACTGCCACCTGTGTGACGGTCCAGGCGAAGGGCCGCACGGCTGCTGATTGTCTCCTTCGTCCCGCCCACACATACTCTGGCTCCCGTCAAACTGTTAAGCAGCAGCCTCCTGATTGACTGCTGATTGTCTCCCGTCCCATCCTTCCTACAGTGCGCTGATTGGCTGCAGCTAATGTCAATCTGCCCAGCAGCAGCCTCCCTGGCTCCCGGGTCGCACGGCTGCTGCTCCCGCCCCTCGCAGTGCCCACACACAGCGCCTCTGATTCGCTCCGGTTCTTGCCTATTTGCACAGTAAGCGACTTCTGATTGGGCACTGATTGTCTGTCACCTTACAGCGCGCTGATTGGTACCAGCAGCTGTCACTCTGCCGAGTATGGTTTTCTGATTGGCCGAGAGCGGCCGCTGATTGTCTCCCTCGTCCCGCCCTCCATAAACAATGCCAATGTCGCACAATCCCCCCCCGTGATGATGTCACTGTTATGATGTCACAAGGGGCCCCTAGCAACCGTTACAAGGCGCCTTGACTCTCCTTAGCAACCATATCTAAGGACCAGTCTCTGTTTTGATGATTTCATAGTGGGCAATGAATGAAAGGGAGAGATGGAAAGAGGGGAGGAGGGAATGGAAGGATGAAGCAGGGAACGAGAAAGAGAGAGAGAGAGGAGGGAATGAAGGGATGAAAGAGAGAGAGAAGGAGGAAGAGAAAGAATGAAGGAGGGGACGAGAGAGAGAGAGAAGGAAGGAGGGAATTAAGGGATGAAAGAGAGAGAGGGAACGAGAGAAAGAGAAGGATGGCGAACGAATAAAGGAGAGAGAGGAGGGAGAGAAAGAATGAAGGAGGGAACAAATGAGAAGGAGGGAATGAAGGAGGGAGCACTATAATTAGCTGAGAGAGTGGAGGGAATGAAGGGATGAGGGAGAGAGAGAGAGAGAAGGAAAAGGAAAGAATAAAGGAGAGAAAGAAGGAAGACCGAAAGAACAAACAAATGGAGAGAATGAATGAATGAAGGAAGGAAGGAAGGAAGGAAGGAAGGAAGGAAGGAAGGAAGGAAGCAAGGAAGGAAGGAAGGAAGGAAGGAAGGAAGGAAGGAAATCTGTCTCTGTTTCTCTCTCACTCTCTATCACTTGCTCTCTCACTTTCTCTCGTTATCTCTCTCAATTGCACTCTTTCTCTCTACCAAATGCAAGGATTATTATTATATTGCTCTCTACCTCACTCTCTCACATCTTCTCACTTTCTTACAGACGGACGGGCAATGGACAATGCAGAGAGTGAGGAAAGTAAGTTATCTCTCGCTCTCAGTTTCCATCTCTCTCAGTCTCTGCCTTTCAGTCTCTGTCTCCATCTATCTCTCAGTCTCTCTCTCAGTATCAGTCTCTCTCTCAGTCTCACACACTCTCTGTCTCTCAGTCTCTGTGTCTCAGTCTTTCATATGCTCTCGGTCTCTCACTCTATGTCTCTCAGTCTCTCTCTCTCTCCATCTCTCAGTCTCAGTCTCTCCCTCCACTGGATTCCCTCACCGCACCCCAGACACAGAGACGGAGCGAGAGGAAGAGATGAATGAAGAGGAGGAGAGAGCCCTTAAATTTTTTCTCTCTCCCTTCTCTCTATCTCTTTCTCTCAGCTCTTTTTCTCTTTCAGCTCTCTTTCTCTCAATCTCTCTCTCTGTCTCTCACAGACACGCTCTCTCTCCATCTCTCTCTCTCTTTCAGATATGGTCTCTCCATCTCACTCAGTCTCTCACACACTCTCTGTCAGTCACACACTTACTCTCTCTCTCCATCTCTTTCTTAGTCTCACACACACTCTCTCTCCCAGATGCCCCAACCTCCCCGCAAGATGACGGAGTGAGTGAATGAATGATGGAGAGAGAGGAGATGAACAAAGAGGAGGAGAGAGCACACAAATTATTTCTCTCAGTCTCCCTCTCTCAGCCTCTCTCTCCGTCTCTCTCTATATCTCTATCCCTCTATCTGTGTATGTGTCTCTCTCTATCTTTCTATCTATCTATCTATCTGTGTGAGACTTTCTTTCTCTGTCACTCTCTCCCAGTCTCTGTGTACATGTGTCTCTTACACACTGTATCGTTCTCTCTCTCTATCTATCCATATTTGTGTGTATCTCTCTTTATGACTCTCACACTTTTTCATTCCACCTTACACTCCATCTGTCTCTCAGTTAAACACACTCTCTCTCCATCTCTATGCACTTCTGACACATACACAATCCGTCTCTCCATCTCTCTCTTATTCTCTCATACATTCTCTCTTTCACAGCCTCCCCCACCCCCCCGGACACAGAGACGGAGAGAGAGAGAGAGAGAGAAGAGGAGACGGAGAAAGAGGAGGAGATGAACGAAGAGGAGATGGAAGCGGAGGAGAGAGCCCTCGAATTCTGGTTATCGGCTGAAACACAACCGTCTCCTAACCCAGTGTGGACGCCATTAAACGCTTTACTGTCGCGAGAGAGAGGCTCAAACCCTTTGAGCTTCACCACAGGGGCCTGTGGGGCCCGGAGTTTTGTCCAGAGATTCCAGCGTCTGTTCACACTTGATTCCCATCGAGGTTGTGTGAACTCACTTCACTACAATCAGTCGGGGACATGTCTGGCCAGTGGCAGTGATGATCTGCATGTTATCGTGTGGGACTGGGCGAGTCAGAGAGAGAGACTGAGGTTTCACACCGGTCACAAGAGCAATGTGTTTCAGGTGGGTTTGTGAGAAAGATGGAGAGAGAGATACAAAAAGTGTGTGTTTGTGAGACAAAGATGAGAGATAGAGTGAATAGGACTGGGCGAGTCAGTGAGAGAGATGGAGAGACAGAGATAGAGAAAGAGTGTGTAAGAGAGAGAGAGAGAGAGGCAGAGAGAGAGGGACTGAGATTGAGAGGAGCAAGACTGAGAGAGATGGAGTGAGTGTGGCCCTGAGCGAGTCCGTTAGAGGGATGAGTTTCACACCGGCCACGAGCAATGTGTTTCAAGTGATGATAATTCTTGTTAATCCTCGGGTTTGAGAGACGGAGAAAGAGTGTGTGAGACTGAGAGACACACAGAGAGAGTATGTGAGACTGAGGGAAAGTCGTGTGGTGAACAGTTGTTTTTCTGACTGGAGAGAATTGGTGTCCCCCAGGGGACGATATTTGGACTGCTGCTCTTTTTGATCTATACAAATGACCTGGACTTGAGTATATGGAGTAGAATTTCCAAGTATGCAGATGATACTAAGCTAGGAAAAGTAGTAAACGGTGAGGAAGGAGACTGCAAGACAACCGACATAGACATTTAATGTGGAGAAATGTGAAGCGATGCATTTTTGTGGGAAGAATGGGGAGAGACAATATAAGCTGATGGTAAAATCTTAAAGGGGGTGAAGGAACAGAGAGACCTGGGGTTCATATAAACAAATCTTTGAAGGTGGCAGGACAGGTAGAAAAAGCTGTTAAAAAAGCATACGGGATACTGGGCTTTATAAATAGGGGCATAGAATACAAAAGTAAGGAAGTTATGATGGACCTTTATAAAACAGTGGTTAGGCATAAGCTAGAGTACTGTGTTCAGTTCTGGGCACCACACTTTGGGAAGGATGTCAAGGCCTTGGAAAGGGTGCAAAGGAGATTTACCAGGGTGGTACCAGGAATGGGGGACTTCAGTTATGTTCATAGACTAGAGAAACTAGAATTATTCTCCTTGCAGCAGAGAAGTTTAAGGGGAGATTTAATAGAGATGTTCAAAATTCTGAGGGGATTCGATAGGATGAACAGAGAGAAACTATTTCCACCGGCAAGTGGGTCAGTAACCCGAGGACACCGATTTAACATAGTTGTTAAAAGAAACAGAGAGGAGGTGAGACATGTTTTCACACAGAGAGTTGTTCGGATCTGGAATGCATTGCCTGAAAGGCTGGTGGAAGCCGATTTGATTATAAACTTTCAAGAGAGAAGTAGATAATTATTTGGGGAGGACAAGTTTGCAGGGCTATGGGGAGAGAGAGGGGGAGTAGGAATGATTCCCTTGGATATCTCTTTTCATAGAGCTGAGTTAGACATGATGGGCCGAATTACTTCCTTCTGTGCTGTATAATGTTATAATTCTTTTGAATCTTTTGAAAGAGACTGAGAGAGACAGAGAGAGTGATGGATTGAGAGAGTGGGTGAGTGAGAGAGATGGAAAGAGAGACTGAATGTGAAATGCAGAAATGCAGAGCGTGGGAGAGAGACCGAGAAAAGGAGTGTGTGAGTGAGAGACTGAGAGAGAGAGAGACGGAGAAAGGGACGGTGAGAGAGTGTCTGTGTGTGTGTGAGAGAGACAGAGGGCGAGAGAGTGAGAGAAAATAGAGATGGAGAGAGAGAGTGTAGTGTGTATGGGAGAGAGAGAGAGAGACAGAAAAAAAGAGACAGAGAGAGAGTGATGTGTGTATGCGAGAGAAATGGAGAGGGAGTGTTTGAAAGTAACAGAGAGAGCGAGAGACAGACGGATAATAACAACAACAAAATTACATTTGTACAGCGACTTTCACGCCGGGAGGACGTCGCAAGGCGCTGGACAATCAGTGTTTCGGACCCGAGCTGGTGGTAGGGATCGAGTAGGATGGAGGGCAAGGGGGGAAGAAGAGTAATCAAAGGCACAAAGAGGAGGGTCTCGAGATGAGTCTTGAAAAGGGTGTGGGTGAGGCGGAGAAACTGCGGGATGGAGTTCCAGAGGGTGGGGACAGAGTGGCTGAAGGCCCGGCCACCAACGGTGGGGCGGGCGAGGCACGGGACATGAAGCAGGCGAGTTGCTGCTGAGCAGAGGGAGAGGGCAGGTTGGTAGGGGGTTAGGAGGTCGCAGAGGTAGGAGGGGGAGCAAGGCGACGGAGGGCTTTGAAGGTGAGGACCAGGATCTGAACTGTATCCTCTGTGTGATGGGAAGCCAGTGGAGGGGGTCATGGGGTTCATGCAGCCTGGTGCGGGAGAGGACACAGGCTGCAGAGAGGATGATCTATGGAGGGAGGAGTTGGGGAGACCAACACGCAGGGAGTTTGCACAGTCAAGCCTGGATATTATGCACCCGTATATGAGGGCGATACTGTCAGCGCCTGAGGTGTGGAGGTGCTGACAGGAACGAATCAGGAGGGCCTCGGTCTTGATGATAATAATAATCCTTGCAAAACACAAAATACTGCAGGTGCTGGAAATCTGAAACGAAAACAGAAGTCGCTGGGAACGCTCAGCAAATCAGGCAGCATCTATGGAGAGAGGAAAGTGAGTCAACGTTTCGGGTCCAGGACCCTTCGTCAGTACGAAAGGCTTCTGATGAAGGGTCGTGAACCCAAAGCATTGACTCACTTTCCTTTCCTAATAATCCTTGCATTTGATACAGCGCCTTATCATTCTCTCACACATTTTCTCTCTCAAACTCTCTCACACACTCGCTTATGCACTCTCTCTCTCTCACAGATAGAAAGAGACAGAGTACTATCCTCTCCGCGCTTTCTATCTGTCTCTTTGTTTCTCTCACACTCCGTCTCTCTGTGTCTGTCTCTCTCTGTGTCTGTGTGTATCAGACTCTCTCATGTACACTCTCTCGAAGACATGATAAGGTGTTGTATGAAACGCAAGGATTACTATTATAGTCTCTCTCAGTCTCACGCTCCGTTTCTCTGTCTCTGCATATGTGTTGTCTCTCTCTGCCTGTGTGTGTTTCTCTATCAGTCTCTCACACTCGCTCACACTCTCGCTCACACACTCACACACCATCTTTCTCACATACACTCTCACACACTCTGTCTCCATCTCTCTCACACACTCTCTCTCACTTTCACTGTTTCTCTCACACACACTCTTTCACACTCTCTCACTATCTGTCTCTCTCTCTTAGGCTAAGTTCCTGCCGAACACAGGTGACACGACGATGGTGATGTGTGCGAGAGATGGGCAGGTGCGAGTGGCTGAACTGTCAGCTACAGAAACATGTAAATCTACCCGCAGAGTAGCTCAGCATCGCGGCTCAGCCCACAAGGTAACTGTGTCTCTGTCTGTGTGTGTATCACTGTGTCTCTCAGTCTGTGTGTGTCTCTCTATGTCTTTCTGTGACTCTCCCTCAGTCTGTGAGGGCGCTCTGAGACGCTGTCCGGTGTGGAGGGCGCTATATAAATCCAAGTTGTTGTTGTTGTGTGTGTGTGTCTCTATCTCTATCATACAGACAGAAAAAGAGTCGGAGAGAGTGAGATGTCTCTCTCTATCTTTTGCTCCACCTCTCTGTGTGTCCGATATGTATGTCTCTCTCTCTCTGAATGTCTGTAGCTATATGTATGTGTCTCTGTCTCCCTTACTCTCTCTCTCTCTGTCTCACACTCACATACACGCGCACTTTCACACATAGACTGATGCAGAGAGGGACACACCCGCAGAGATGTCTCCCTCCCTCTTTCTCTGTGTGTGTGTCTCTCTCTCTCTCTCTCACACTCTGTCTGTGTGTGTGTCTCTCTCTCTCTCACACTCTGTCTCTGTGTGTATGGCTCTCTCTCACACTTTGTCTGCGTGTGTGTCGCTGTCTCACACACAGATACACAAAGAGACAGAGTGTGTGTGTCTCTCTCACACTCTGTCTCTGTGTGTGTCTCTCTCTATCTCTCTCAAACTCATGGAATGTGTGTGTGTGTGTGTCTCACACTCTCTTATGCGTATGATTCTCTCTCACAGTTTGTCTCTCTGGGTGTGTGTGTGTCTCTCTCACACACAGACACATAGAGAGACAGAGAGCGAGAGAGACATCTCTCAGTCTGTGTGTCTTTCTCTCTTACACTGTCTGTGTGTGTGTGTGTCTCTCTCACACAGACAGAGAGAGAGAGGGGGGCATATCTCAGTTTGTGTCTCTCTTTGTCTGTTACGCCCACATGCAATATATGTGTGCAGTCTCTCTGTCTCTCAATCTCACACTCAGTCTCTGTCTCACACACAGAGTGAAAGAGATGCAGACACTCACAATGTCTCTCTCCCTCCCTCCGTCTCTGTCTGTGTGTGTGTGTGTCTCTGTCTCGATCTCTGTCTCCCTGTTCTCTCTCTGTCTGTGTGTGGGTGGGGGTCTATCTTTGTATCTCTCTGTCTCTCGCTCTCTGTGTCTCCCTGTCTCTCTCTGCCTCTTTCTCACAGACTGAGACAGACACATCGCTCTGTGTTTGTGTGTTCGTTTCTCTCTCTGTCTCTCCAAACACAGACTGACATAGAGAGAGATGCACACACACTATCTCTCTCACACTCCTCTTTCTCTCTCACACACACAGAGACATCTCACTCACGCAACCACACACAGACAGAAATATGTCTCTCTCTCACACAAACACACGCACAGAGAGACATCTCTCTCCGTGTGTTGTCTCTGTATGTCTCTTACACACAGACTGACAAAGAGACACACATACTCAAATAATGTCTGTCTCTCTCACTAATACACACTCAATGTCTCTCTGTGTCTCTCAGCCTTTGTGTCTCTGTCTCACACACTCATTCTCTCACTCACTCTCTGAATTTCTCATTCTCTCTTATTTCCTCTCATTCTCCCCCTCTCTTTAATTCTACCTCTTTTTCTCATTCCCTCTCTCTTTCGTTCTCTAGCTCGCTTTACACCGAGACTCCCCCTCAGTGTTTCTTTCTGCTGGTGAAGACGCTGTGATTTATTCGATTGATTTGAGACAAGATCGATGTGCAACGTAAGTATCGGCGTGTAATTGGCTGCCACGTTTCACCCATAAAACACACAGTCATTACACTTTACAGTGTATCATGTGAAGCGCTTTGAGATGTCGTGACGATGTGATAAGGCGCTGTATCAAATGCAATGATTATTATTATTATTGTAAATGTGAGCATGAGATACACACACACACACACAAATACACACACACTGGGGTGAAAGGCACTGTAAATGTAAGCGGTGAAGCATTGTGAGATGTTACTCTCGTCAGTGTGCGAGACAAAGTGTGTGCAAGAGAAAGAGAGAGATAGTGTGTGAGATGGAATGAGAGAGTGTGTGAGAGTGTCTGTGTGCGAGTGTGCGTGTCTGTCTGAGAGAGATAGAGTGTGTGAGAGAGAGTGTGTCTGTGTGTGTGAGAGTGTCTCTGTCTGTGTGTGTCTCTCACGCCTTATCTCAGTATCTCTATCTGTCTGTGTGTGAGTGTGACAGAGACGAGCCAGAGAGTGTGTGAGAGAGAAAGTGTAAGAGCGAGATTGTATTTCTGTGTGTGTGTGTGTGTGAGAGAGAGAGAGAGATGGAGCGAATATCTTTCTGTATATATCTGTGTGAATGAGGGACTTAGTGCGTGGGAGAGGGAGACTGAGTGTGTGGGAGAGGGAGACTGAGTGCGTGAGAGAGAGAGAGAGAGAGAGACTGAGTGCGTGAGAGAGGGAGAGACTGAATGCATGAGAGAGAAAAAGACTGAGTGCGTGAGAGAGAGAGAGACTGAGTGTGTGAGAGAGAGACTGAGTGTGTGAGAGAGACTGTGTGCGTGAGAGAGAGATTGAGTGCATGAGAGAGAGATTGAGTGCATGAGAGGGAGACTGAGTGCGTGAGAGAGAGATTGAGTGCATGAGAGGCAGACTGAGTGCGTGAGAGGGAGACTGAGCGCGTGAGAGAGAGACTGAGCGCGTGAGAGGGCGACTGAGCGCGTGAGAGGGAGACTGAGCGCGTGAGAGAGCAACTGAGCGCGTGAGAGAGTGACTGAGCGCGTGAGAGAGCGACTGAGCGCGTGAGAGAGTGACTGAGCGCGTGAGAGAGCGACTGAGCGCGTGAGAGAGTGACTGAGCGCGTGAGAGAGCGACTGAGCGCGTGAGAGAGTGACTGAGCGCGTGAGAGAGCGACTGAGCGCGTGAGAGAGTGACTGAGCGCGTGAGAGAGCGACTGAGCGCGTGAGAGAGCGACTGAGCGCGTGAGAGAGCGACTGAGCGCGTGAGAGCGACTGAGCGCGTGAGAGAGCGACTGAGCGCGTGAGAGAGTGACTGAGCGCGTGAGAGAGCGACTGAGCACGTGAGAGAGCGACTGAGCGCGTGAGAGAGCGACTGAGCGCGTGAGAGAGCGACTGAGCGCGTGAGAGAGCGACTGAGCGCGTGAGAGAGCGACTGAGCTCGTGAGAGAGCGACTGAATGAGAGAGACTGAGTGTGTGAAAGAGAGAGACTTAGTGTGAGAGTTAAAAGACTGTGTGTGTGAGAGAGAGAGACTGTGTGAGAGAGAGAGAGACTGAGTTTGATAGAGAGACTCAATGTGAGAGAGACTGAGAGAGTGTGACTGAGTGTGAAAGAGAGACTGAGTGTGTGTGAGAGACTGAGTGTGTGTGAGAAAGAGACAGAGAGATTGAGCGTGTGAGAGAGACAGCGTGTGAGAGTGAGACTGAGTGTGAGAGAGAGAGAGATGGAATGAGAGAGACAGTGTGTGAGACAAAAAGTGTGTGTGTGTCTCTCTATCTCAGTATGCCTCTCTAAGCTCTGTGTGAGAGAGAGAGCAAGAGTGACAGAGTGAGTGCGAAAAAGCTAAATGCAAGTGGTGAAGCATTTAGTATGTGTGTTTCTCTGTCTGTCTTTGTGTGTGTGAGAGAGAGAGAGAGAGAGAGGGAGAGAGAAAGATCAATGTAAACTGTGAGCCGTCTCTGTATATTTCAGGAAGATTATTACCACAAAGGAACAAGACAAGAAAATTGGATTATATTCGATTTATATCAACCCTTGTGAACCTCAGCAATTCGCTGTCGGAGGTAAAGATCAATATGCCAGGTAAGAGAGACAGAGACAGACAGACAGACAGACAGACAGACAGACAGACAGACAGACAGACAGACAGACAGACAGACAGACAGACAGACAGACAGACAGACAGACAGACAGACAGACAGACAGACAGACAGACAGACAGACAGACAGACAGACAGACAGACAGACAGACAGACAGACAGACAGACAGACAGACAGACAGACAGACAGACAGACAGACAGACAGACAGACAGACAGACAGACAGACAGACAGACAGACAGACAGACAGACAGACAGACAGACAGACAGACAGACAGACAGACAGACAGACAGACAGACAGACAGACAGACAGACAGACAGACAGACAGACAGACAGACAGACAGACAGACAGACAGACAGACAGACAGACAGACAGACAGACAGACAGACAGACAGACAGACAGACAGACAGACAGACAGACAGACAGACAGACAGACAGACAGACAGACAGACAGACAGACAGACAGACAGACAGACAGACAGACAGACAGACAGACAGACAGACAGACAGACAGACAGACAGACAGACAGACAGACAGACAGACAGACAGACAGACAGACAGACAGACAATATGCTGTGTAGGAATATTCTACATTAACTGGTAATTTGTTGAAGGAAAGAACAAGAGTGACACAGATTAGATAAACAGAGAGAGATAATAATCCTTGCATTTGATATCACGTCTTCGAGACGTCTCAAAGCTCTTCACAGGATACTGTAGAGTGTAGTGACTGTGGTTTGTGGGCAAAACGCAGAGACACATACACGCAGATAAATATAAAGAGAGATAGATAGAGAGATAGAGGCACAGTGTGTGTGAGAGAGACACAGATATAATAATAATAATAATAATAATCCTTGCATTTGATATAGCGCTTTTCACGTCGGGAGGACGTCCCAAAGCGCTTTACAGAACACACTGTAAAGTGAATTGACTGTATATTTGTGGGCGAACGCGGCAGCCAATTGCGCACAGCAATGTCCCACAAACAGTCGTAGATTGAAAATGACCAATTTTATTATTGTTTTGGTTTTGGAGGGATTATTATTAGGCTCTGTGTGGAGTAAGGAAACTTGCCCAAGGTTTCGCCCTCTGCCTGGAATTGAACTCAGGTCTCTCAGGTCTCTCCAGATATATATATGGAGTCCTGCAGCTCAGTGGTTAGAGCACTCGCTTTGCGAGCGAGAGACCTGAGTTCAATTCCAGGCAGAGGGCGAAACCTTGGGCAAGTTTCCTTACTCCACACAGAGCCTAATAATAATCCTCCAAAACCCAAAACAATAAATAAATTGGTCATTTTCAATCTACGACTGTTTGTGGGACATTGCTGTGCGCAATTGGCTGCCGCGTTCGCCCACAAATATACAGTCAATTCACTTTACAGTGTGTTCTGTGAAGCGCTTTGGGTCGTCCTCTCGACGTGAAAAGCGCTATATCAAATGCAAGGATTATTATTATTATTATTATATATATAACTAGCTATACCTCTTGCTTCGCTTGCAAGCAGTTTCATTCAATCGGCCTTCTGTCTTTCGTGTGGCATTTTTATTTGTCCTTGAAAGGCTTGATCTTCGCTTCTTCGACATTTTTATTCCTTAAAGATTAGGAAAATGTACTGAACTCATTAGCATCCCTTCTTGGAGTCTATACGTGTGTGATGAGCTTGTTTAGGTAACGATAGGAGATCCCCGAAAGAAAATATGCACATGACATTCCCCAATTCAAGACCTTTATGAGTTATAAATCATATCTCTATGTCAATTGGTTATTGAGATCTTGGTGGACACACAGCCATTTTGTCTTTATTAGTATAGATAGATAGAGAGACACTCATGCAGAGACACAGCAACTGAGCCAGGCTGACCCACACACACATACATGCTCTCTCTAACACTCCCAGTTTCTCTCTGTCTCATTCTCTCTCTCAATCTCTCTCTCTGTCTCTTACATTCTCACATTCACATTCTCATGTTCACATTCTGTCTCTCTCGCAGACTCTCGGTCTCTCTGTCTCTCTTTCACACTCTATCATGCTTTCACAAACTCTTTCTCTCTTACTGTCACACTATCTCTCAGTCTTTCTCAGTCACACTCGCTCAGTTTCTCTCAATCACACACTCTCTCATTCATACTCTCTCTGTCTCTCACAGTCTCACATTCCCACTCTCTCTCTGTCTATCTCTCGCAGTCTCTCTGTCTCTCTCTCTCTCACACACTCTATCCCACTCTCTCAGACTCTCTCTCTGTCTCGCTCTCAGTCATACTCTCTCTCAGTCGCTCTCTCTCACACACTCTCTCGATCTCTCCACAGAATATATGATTGTCGTATGATTCAACCTTCTCAAATGAATGGAGTTTTGAAAAAGTTTTGTCCTCATCACTTGGTAAGATAGTCACACTCACTCTTTTACACTTACGTGCTCATAACACACACAGACACACAAGACACACAGATGCACACAGACAGACACACACACACATAGACAACAGAGATACACACATAGACGCACACACAGACACACACACTCACACAGACAGATACACATACACACAGATACATACACAAACATGCAAACTGTATTACATTAAAAATATTTTTTCTTTTGTTTCAGTTAAACAGTCAGTCAAAGGCTAATATCACTTGTCTTGTGTATAGTCATAATGGGTCAGGTAAGTTAGAGAGAGAGACTGAGAGAGAGCGAGAGAGAGACTGAGAATCTGTCTGCGTGTGGATCTGTGTGTGTGGATCTGTGTGTGTCTGTATCTGTCTGTGTGTGTGCGTCTGAGTATCTGTGTGGGTCTGTGTGTATGTCTTTGTGTGTGTATGTCTTTGTGTGTGTGTGTCTGTGAAACACATTGTTTATATATCTGTGTCTCTCACATACGCTGTCTCTCACACTTTCATACTCTCTCACGCACACTCACATTCACATTCTCTTTCTCACACAAACATTCTCTCTCACACGCACTCTCTCATACTCTCTCTCTTTCACACAGAGCTATTAACAAGCTATAATGATGATGATATTTATCTCTTTAACACATCGGACGAAAATGGGTCAGAATATATTAAACGTTACAAAGGCCATCGTAACAACGCCACAGGTAAGATCTCTTTCTCTCGCCGTCTCTCATTATCTCACACAATCTCTCAGTCTCTCTCTCAGACTCAACACAGTATCTCTCTTGCTCTCTCTCTCAGTCTCTCTCTTTCAGTCTTTCTCTCCAGTCTTTCTCTCTCTCTCTCTCTCTCACAAACACATACGCAGTCCTTATCAGTCTCGCTCTCTCAGTCTCTCTCTCCATCTCCCTCATACAGACACACACACACACACAATGTCTCTATCAATCTCTCTCTATTGCTCACACACACACTCTCCATCTCTCTCTGAGTCTGCAATTCTCCGTCTCTCTCTTCCACACAGACACAAACACAGTCTCTCAATCGCTCTCTCGCTCTCTCCCAGTCTCTTTCTTTCAGTCTCTCTGTCTCAGTCTGTCTCTCTGTCTCAGTCTCTCCCTCTCTATCTGTGTGTGTGTTTCAGTCTCTCTCAGTCTCTCCCGGTCTCTCTCCCATTCTCTATCTCAGACTCTCTCACTAGCTATCTGTGGGTATCTCTCTCCATCTCTTTCTCTCAGTCTCTCTCTCTCTCTCTCTATCGCTCTCTCAGTCTCTCTCTCGCCATCTCTCGCTCTCTCTGTCTGTCTCTCACTCTCTCCATCTCTATCTCTCTCTCCATCTCTGTCTCTCTCTCCATCTCTATCTCTGTCTCACACTTTCTCTCTCCTGCTCTCTCTCTATCTCTCAGTCTCTCACAGAACAGTGCAGAAACAGCCTTGGTCAAACTGACAAATTACATTTTGTCCATCTGCGACCAGGGCTCCCTCTGCCTCCTTGTCCTCCTTGACCTCTATGCTGCCTTCAATACCGTTGACCACTCTATCCTCATCCACTGCCTCTCCTCTCACCTCAACCTTCATGCTTCTGTCGTTTAATAGTTTCAGATCCTACCTCTCACACCGTCTCCACTTCATCTCCACAAATGGTTTCTCCTCTAGCCCCCACACCATCTCATGCGGCGTTCCTCAGGGCTCTGTCCTTGGTCCCCTCTTCTTCAATATCTACATACTACCTCTTGGTGACATCATCGGCAGACTTCAACTTCCATATGCATGCGGATGACACACAACTGTACCTCTCTGCCTCCACCCTTGACTCCAGGACCCACTGCTGTGCTGACAGAATGTCTGTCAGACATCAAGTCCTGGATGAGAGAGACCTTTCTTTAGTTGAACGTCAACAAGACCGAGGCTATGCTGATTGGCTCCCGTCAGTACCTCCACACCTCAGGCGCTGACAGCATCACAGTCCATGGTTGCACCTCCACCTCACTGAGCCAGTCTGGAACCTTGTTGTCTTCTTTGAACCTCACCTTTCTACCCCACATCCATGCCTTCCCCACCTCCGCAACATCGCCCAGCTCTGCCACTGTCTCACCCATCAGGCCGCCAAAACCCTCATACATGCATTCATTACATCTAGGCTTGACAATGCAAACTCTCCCGCACCAGGCTCCGTGACCCTATCACCCTCACCATCGCCCGGCTCCACTGGCTTCCCATCACACAGAGGATATAGTTCAAGATCCTGGTCTTCACCTTCAAAGCCCTCCATGGTCTTGCTCCTCCCTAGCTCTGGGACCTCCTAACCCCCAACCAACCTGCCCACTCCCTCCGCTCAGCGGGCTCTGGCCTGCTTCACATCCCCACCTTGCCAACATTGGCGCGTGGGCTTTCAGCCACTCTGCCCCCCCATCTCTCAGTATCTCGCTCACACAGACACACCCACACTGTTTTTCTATCTCTCAGTCTCTCTCCCTCTCTCTCACACACACAATAATAATCCTTGAATTTGATTCAGCCCCTTATCACGTCTTCGAGAAGTCTCAAAGCGCTTCACAGAATAAACTGTGAAGTGTAATGACTGTGTATTTTGGGTTTCCAGTTAAAGGAGTCAGTTTCTCAGTCTCTTTCTTACACACACACACACACACACACATACACACAGTTTCGCTCAGTCTCAGTCTTACACACAGACACATACACACAGTCTCTCTCAGTCTCTCTCTCACGAACTCTATCCGTGTGTTTGTGTGTGTGTATCTCTATCTCTGTATATCTTGTATATTAATTATAATAATCCTTGTATTTGATACAGCACCTTATCACATCTTTGCGACGTCTCACAGAATATACTTTTAAGTGCAGTAACTGTGAGTTTTGTGTTTCTAGTTAAATAAGTGAATTTCTATGTCTCTTGTTTCTCACTCAGTCTCCCTCAGTTAGTCTCTCGGTCTCCCTCTCAGTCTCTCTGTCTCTCACACACTCTTCTCTCTCTGTATTAATAATAATCTTTGACACACATACAACAATAATCCGTGCAAATATGCACAGAGCTAGAGAGAGGGATAATAATCCTTCCATTTAATATAGCACCTTATTGCATCTTCGAAACGTCTCAAGGTGCTTCACAGGATACACTGTAAAGTGTAGTGACTGTGTGCTTTGTGTTCCCAGTTAAGGGGGTGAATTTCTATGGACCGAGAAGTCAGTTTATTGTCAGCGGAAGTGACTGTGGACACATCTTCTTGTGGGAGAAAGAATCTTGTCAAATCATCCAGTTTCTAGAAGGGGATGATGGGGGAGTGGTGAGTGTGAGAGAGAGACACACAAGACAGAGAGAGAGCGAGTGACAGAGAAAGAGAGACCGAGACAGTGAGAGAGAGAGTATAAAAGTGTGTAGTTGTGTGTCTGTGTTTATGTGTGAGAGATAGTATGTGACAAAGAGAGAGTGAGAGAGAGACTGAAAGAATGAGTGTGAGAGAGACTGAAAGAGAGATGGAGACAGAGACCAAGAGAGCGTGTGTGAGAGAGAGGGAGAGAGAGAGCATGAGAGCTTAAGAGAGCGAGGCAGAGAGAATGTGAGAGAAACAGAGAGACTCAGAGAGTGTGAGAGAGAGACAGAGCGCGAGCGAGAGACAGATAGAGACTGAGAGCGTGAGGGAGAGAGTGGAAAAGAATGTTTGTGAGAGCTTGTGTGTGTGTGTGAAAGAAAGCGAGAGAGTGTGTGTGAGAGACTGAGAGAGAGAGACAGAAAGAGCCTGGGGGAGAGAGAGAGAGAGACAGAGGGAGTGTGTGAGAGAGAGTATGTATGTGTGTGTGTGTGTCTCTTTCTCATTCCCTGTCTGTCTCTCTCGCTCTGAGAGTGAGATGGACAGGGATGGAGGGAATGTGAGAGAGCCACAGAGAGGGTATGTGTGTCTCTCAGTCTCTTTTGGTCTCTCTCTCTCTCTCTTTGAGAGGCGACTGAGAGCGAGACAGCTAGCAGGAGCGAGAGAGGAGGGTGAGATATAGAGAGAGCGAAACTGGTGCTGTTTGCTGTTACAGGTGAATTGTATCTCTCTCTCTCGCTCACACTCCTTCCGTATGAGAGACAGAGAGAGGGAGAGAGAGAATGTAACAAAGAGAGTGACTGACACTATTTGTGTGTGTGTGTCTCTCTCGCTATGTGTGTGTGTCTCTCTCTTTGTGTGTGTGTGTCTGTGTGTGTGTGTGTGTGTGACTCTCTCTGGTGGAGAGGGATGGAGGGAGTGAGCGAGCCAGACACAGAGAGAGAGTGACTGATGTGTGTCTCTGTTGCAGGTAAACTGTCTCGAGCCTCACCCTCACCTCCCTGTGTTGGCCACCAGTGGCCTGGATCATAGCGTCAAGATCTGGGCCCCAACCTCCCAGCTCCCCAGCCCCCTGTGTGGGCTCCGTGAGGTCTCTCTCTCTGTCTCTCTCTGTCTGTCTTTCTCTCCATATCTCTCTCTCCGTCTCTCTCATTCAGTCGCTCTATCACACTCTGTCTCTCTGTCTGTGTGTCTCTCTCTGTCTGTCTGTCTCTCTCTCTCTCTCTGTATCCTTGCCTCTCTTTGTCTCTCTCTCAGTCTGTCTCTCTCTCTTTCAGGTCATTAAGAAAAACAAGAGAGAACGAGATTCTGATAGTTTGAGACAAAGTGATTTATTCGACAGTCACATGCTCTGGTTTTTAATGCATCATTTGCGAGAGAGACGTCATAGAGAGGTAAGCAATCTCTCTCCCACTCTCTCACACTCATACTATCTCTCTCACACCCACACTCTCTCTCACACTCTCACTCACTCTCTTTCTCACACTCACTATGTGTCTGTGTGGATCTCTCTCAGTCTCTGATTCTATCTTTCTCTCTCACACATTATTGCACTCGCTCTCTCTCTCTCTCACACACACACTCTGTCAATCACACACTTTCTGGGAGTGTGGATCCACAGAGGGTGCTTTACTGTGTCTCTAACTCTGACCTGGGAGTTTATACGGACAGTGTAGAGGGAGCTTTACTGTGTCTCTGACCCAGACCTGGGAGTGTGGACGCCCAGTGTAGAGGGAGCTTTACTGTGTGTGTGTATCTCTCTCATGCTCTCTCTGTATATCTGTGTGTGTGTGTGTATGTTTGTGTGTGTGAGAGAGAGTGTGTGTGTGTGTGAGAGAGTGATAATAATCCTTGCATTTGACACAGCGCCTTATCACATCTTTGAGATGTTTCAAAACGCTTCACAGAATATACTGTAAAGTGTGTTTTGTGGGCGAAATTCTCTCTCTTGCAGTCTCTCACACGCACTCTCAGTCTCTATCTCTCACACACATTCTCTGATCCTCACCTTCAAAGCCCTCCATGGCCTTGCTCCCCCCTACCTCTGCAACCTCCTAACCCCCTTCAACCTGCTCGCTCCCTCCGCTCAGTGGGCTCCGGCCTGCTTCACGTCCTCTGCCTTGACCATGCCTTCGATCACCCTCCGCCCCCTGCCCTCCCCGATCCCGACCCCCAGCTCAGGTCCAAAACACTGATTGTCCAACTCCTTGGGATGTCCTCCCAACGTGAAAGGCACTATTCAAATATATCAAGTTCCATGTATTGTACTTCAGACATAGTTGGGGGCCAGCAAACTCGTAGCCAGTGACTAACTTGAAGCAATTGATGCAAGTTGGGTTCTTAGAAATAAACTCCCTTATAGATTTTCCCCAGATCACCATTATCTTTATAAAATCATCTCCAACTACAACGAACCATGAAGCAACTCTCTGGTTTGTAAGTAACATGTCCTTTCACTGCCAATGCTTCTATGCACGAGTCCCTCCATGTTGAGACATTGACCTCTTGCTCTTGTCCACCCCACTGATCTACCCACTCTTTATAAACTATATATAGCTTTAATCTTTTAAGATTAAATGCTCAGAGACCAAGAATAATTGACAATTCCACTCTTCATAAAATGAAATTCCTGCTTGTTTAGCAACAAATTTAACTTTATACTATTACACGTGGAGTCCTGTAGCTCAGTGGTTAGAGCACTCGCTTTGCAAGTGAGAGACCTGAGTTCAATTCCAGGCAGAGGGCGAAACCTTGGGCAAGTTTCCTTACTCCACACAGAGCCTAATAATAATCCCTCCAAAACCAAAAACAATAATAAATTGGTCATTTTCAATCTACGACTGTCTGTGGGACATTGCTGTGCGCAATTGGCTGTCGCGTTCGCCCACAAATATACAGTCAATTCACTTTACAGTGTGTTCTGTGAAGCGCTTTGGGACGTCCTCCCGACGTGAAAAGCGCTATATCAAATGCAAGGATTATTATTATTATTATTATAATGTATATCTGTGTATGTGTGTAAGAGAGAGAATGTGAGAAAGTGTAATAATAATACTTACATTTGCTATAGCACCTTATCTCCCTCTCACCCACTCAGTCACACTCTCTCTCTCACTCTCTCTCTTACTCACACTCTCACACACACTCACTCTTACACTCTGTCTCTCTGTCTGTGTGTATGTATTTCTCTCTCACACACACTCACACTCAAGTCTCTGTGACTGTCTCTCACACACACACACACTTTTGCACACTCACTCTCACACTCTCATTATCTCACTCAGTCTCTGTGTGTGTGTGTGTCTCTCACACATACTCTCTCACATCCACACTCCCTCAGTCTCTCTGTCTCTATATCTCCCTCTCACACACCCTCTCCCTCACTCTCTCTGTCTGTCCGTCTGTGTGTGTGTGACACTCTGTCTTTGTTTTACTCTCTATCTGTATGTGTCTCCTCTCTCAGTCTCACTCTCACATTCTCTCTCGCTAATTCTCTCTCTCAGCATCATAGAGAATTCTCTCCTGATCTTGAAGCGGATTCTGAGGCGTCTTCAAATTCCACCAACACGTCGTCTGATGACGAGGAAATCGATGCCCCAGATAGAGTTCAATGTCTGCCCTCCTAAACGCTCTTCTCTCCATCCCTCCCCCTCTATTCACTCTTTCTCCCCCCCCCACCCACCCCCCTCGCGCTCTCTCTTTTTCTATTACTTAGAAAATGATTAATATGACTTATACAAAGAAATATTTTAAATGGATTTGACTCTCGCGCTCAATCTCTCTCAGTCTCTCTCTCAATCTCTCTCTCAGTCTGTGTGTCTCTCTCTCAGTCTGTGTGTCTCTCTCTCAGTCTGTAACTCTCAGTCTGTCTCTCTCTCTCTCTCTTTGTCTCTCCCTCTCTCTTAGTCTCTCTCTCAGTATCCCTCTCTCTCTCTCAGTCTCTCTATCTCTCTCAGTCTCTCGCTCAGTCGCTCTCTCAATCTCTCTCTTTCAGTCTCTCTCAGTGTCTCTCCTCAGTCTCTCTCTCTCTTGCTGCAGTAATTAAGTTGAATTTACAATTGAATAAATGTTTTTTTTTGCTGGTTTGAGAGTCAATTTTCTGACATACACAGACGCACACTCACAGACACATTCACACCCAACAACAAAATTATATTTGCATTCGAGCCTTTCATATCGGGAGGACATCCCAAGGAGTGGTTTGGACCCAAGCTGAGGATTGGGGAGGGCGGTGGGAGAAGAAGGGTGATCAAAGGCACGGTCGAAGAGGAGGGTCTTGATACGGGTTTTGAAGGAGGCAAGGGAGGGGTCGAGGTGGAGGGACTGCGGGATGGAGTTCCAGAGGATGGGGGCAGAGTGGCAGAAGGCCTGTCCGCCAGTGGTGGGGCGGGTGAGGCGGGGTCGTGGAGCAAGAAGGATCCCGCTGAGCGGAGGGGGTGGGAAGGTTGGGGAGGTTGCAGAGGTAGGCGGGAGCAAGACCATGGAGGGCTTTGAAGGTGACTAGGATCTTGAACTGCGTGATGGGAAACCAGTGGAGTTGGGCGAGGATGGGGGTGATAGGTTGCAGACCCTGGTGAGGGAGAGGAAACGTGCTGCAGAGTTCTGGATGATCTGCAGTGTGTGGAGGGAGGAGTTGGGGAGGCCGACAAGCAACGAATTTGCATTGTCAAGCCCTGGATGTGATGAATGCATCAATGAAGGTTTTGGCGGCCTGCGGTGTGAGACAGTGGCGGAGCACAGCTACATTGCAGAGCTGGGGGAAGGCAGAGCGGGTCATGACACGGATGTGGGGTAGAAAGGATAGTTGAGGGTCAAACAAGATCTCACGGTTCCAGACCTCAGGGAGGTGGAGTGTGTCCTTGGATGGTGATATTGACAGCACCAAAATTTCACTTGTCAGTTTGACCAAATCTGTTTCTATGCTGTGGGAGGCACAGAAGGGTTCGTGTAGGGAATGGCGGAGAGAAGGAGCAAAGCTGGGAAGCAACGATTAGTTCCAGGATATGGGAAAGGAAAGAGAGGTTGGAGATGGAGTTTTAGGGCAGGGATAGGTCCAGGGAGAGTTTTAAGGATAAGAGTGATTACAGCTGTTTTTAAATGGGTGTGAATGTTGCCAGTGGACAGCGAGAGGTTTATGATGTCTGTGAATAGAGGAGCAAGGAGGTGAAGCTCGGAGGTAAGGAGAGGGATAGATAGGTTCGAGGGAGCAGGTGGTCAGTTTCATGTGGGTTATAACGGTGGTGAGAGAGGAGGGGGAGATTGGTTCAAAGGTGGGGAGGGAGGCATGAGTAGCAGCCGGTGTACGAGGGGGAAATGGGGAAGGGGTAGTAGATGGAAGGGCAGAGGCAGCTGAGCAAATCCACTCGACTTTGGTTTCAAGGAAGTTCATCTCGCAGTTGGCATTGGAGGAGAGGATGGGCAAGGTGGGAAAGGATGGGTGTAGGAGCCAGTTGGTGATGGAGAAGAGGAGCCTTGGGGTGTTCCTGGCCTCCAAGATTGTCTTGGGAGTAGAAGGATGATTTAGTAGAGGCAAGGGGTGGAATGATAAGTTTTGATAAGGTCCACCAGATCCGCCGATGGACCATTAAATTTGAGCCAGGCTCATTTGGCAGCATGCACCTGAACCTTATGAGAGTGGAGGTGGTTGGTGTGACTTTCGTGCGTAGGAGACAGTTTGGGAAGTGAGGGGAACAAGTACATCAAGAGTGGTGGAGAGGGAATTTTGGAGGAGAGTGACTGAGGAGGCTAGGTCATTGCAGGAGGACGAGGAGTTCAGATGACTCCAGGACAGAAGAGAGGTTGGGGGGGTGGGGGTCCGTAGATGTTTTTCCAGGATATCAACGGACTGGGAGTTGCAGCTGGAGGAGGACAGGTAGATTTATAAGTGGAAGCTTACTCAGTTTCTGCAGATGACATTGCCAAGGGGGAGCATATAGATGAGAAAAAGAAGGCCAAGGATGGAGCCCTGGGGTATTCCACAAGTGACGGGCAAGGGCGCGAGGAGAAACCATTTGCTGAGATGAAGTGGAGGCAGTTGATTAAGTAGGATTCAAGCCATGCGAGTGTGGTCCCACTAAAGTGAATGAGGGAGGAGAGGTGGTGGAGGAGGATGGCGGATCCAGGAGGACAAAGGAGCTCTGATCACAGATAGAGAGGATTTCATTTCTTACTTTGATGAGCGCTATCTCTATACTGTGTTCTCTTTTACCTTCAATTATCTTCCCCTTCACCAACACCCCAAGCTCTCAGTGTCCCTTCAGTATCCTCCCCAGCTTGGGTACAAACCCTTGACTACAGCACCTTGGGACATCCTATGGACTTGGAGAAGTTTGGGGTGAGAGTCTGTAGTCTTGTTGAAATGAAGAATAATTTTGGACCGTGAGTTATATAAATATGTATTCAGGAATTTTGTTACTAGTTTACTTTATTTTAATTTGTCTTTTACTTAATCCTTTGCAATTCTACTAATTAAATAATGTAAGAACAAAGAATATTACTTGTCTTTTGATCATAACATTGACTGACTGAGTTCAGTAAATCGCAGAAGCCTCTGCCGTCAGTTTGTGAGGAGTGTCACAACCTGTCATCACGATTGGCATCTGTGAGCTAAAGCCGGAGCCTTTCGGGCAGTGAGCTTCCACCCTGTCCATCCTACATGATTCGCACAAACAGCAACGCAAAAGAAGATTTTACTCGTCTGGCCAAGCAGCAGATGTCATGTGTTTGTTTAATTGACTGTAAGCAACAGCAGTTATTGCATCACGTGCTTCACTGAATCCAGTCTGGGATATAAACCAGATCCTCTTGTCAGTGACTCAGTCATATTTATTAATTTCCATAGACACACATCGCTTCAATGAGGTAATTGCCCAGCAATTCTGCTAATGAAAGTTATTTGTTATCCTATTGCAACTTTTGGTACCCCGAGTAGGTTGGTGGTGTTGTGAATCATTAACTGCATTTACTCCATTAGATGGTAAGAGAGTTATATCTACTTTACAGAACAGTTTACTTTCCAGAGACAGTTTTATAAATAGAACATTCTCTTGTCTAATTGATGATGTGTCTGAGGCTCCAGGAATACCACGTTCTCTGCTCTATTATTTTTCACTCAGTTACTGAGCGGGTGGGTGCACAGTATCCTGGGCCACATGTGGCTGATGCCAACCCAATATAGCCCAACTGATTGGCAGGACTTGGAAGGGAAGAGCAGTCACTGGGAGCAGGGAATCCTCCCACTCAGCTTTCCTGACCGTATTGTATTGTGTTGGGTCTATTTTTGCAGCCAATCTGATATTTGATTGTGATCTCCTGAGAAGAGAGTGCGGAGTGTACATGGCTGCCATGGTAGTGGCTGATCTGATGGTTCTCCTCCTGATTATCCTCCTGCACCATATTCTCATCCATAATTTCCCACTTTTATTGCTCTCCTTGCCCCTCAGGTGTAGATTTCACTGATTAGTAAGTGACCGTGCCCTGGATAATCCCGTTTGGTTCACCGCATCCTTCGCTTTTGACAGTTTTGGGGCCATGTTCTGGCCGAGGCTAAGAACGGGATATTGTACTGCAACCTGAGGTGATATCAGGACTGATCTGTGCAAAGAACATTCCCTGGTCATACCCTCGTCTCCAATAAGGCTCACAGGAGACTCTGGGGTAGCGTCAACCCTGAGAACAACAAAGATGAAGAGGTGGAGAGCAGGAAAAAGACAACCATTACTGATCACTGTGTCTGAAAGTTTTATATTGTTGTGGATATAAATCAGCCACTCGGGGGGGTGGGGAGGGGGGGGGGCATTCCCGGCTCTCTTGGCTGCCTGTAGGAAGATGAACAATCCTGTTCTTCCACCTGTTTGGCGACGTCAGCCTCGTGTCCGGCGACATAATTTATCTCTAAATTTCACCTAAAACTCTGACCAAACAACTGCCTCTGAACCGCGACATTGGGGATTAACAGAAGGTGAAGTCATATCAGGATTTCGGTTTATAGAATTTAATTTTGTATTCTAATCGCCGCAGAATACACAATCACTATACTTTACAGTATATTCTGTGAAGCACTTTGAGACGTTTCGAAGACGTGATAAGGTGCTATATCAAATGCAAGGATTATTATTCACCTGATATTAACAGGGAACCTCTCTATAGTCTGATATTAACGGTGAGAACCTCTGTATAGGCTGACATTAACAATGACACCTCTATATAGTCTGATATTATAGCTTAAGTTTCTGAGATGCCGTCCGGCCTGAAGGGCGCTATATAAATGTAAGTTAACAATGTTTGTGAGTTTTAAATTTGCAGCTCTGCTCTGAAAAAACATTAAGAGGTACAATTTAGTAAATTCCTTGAGTAGGTGGATGCTTAATATCCCATGGCACAATTCCAAAAGAGAACAGAGTTTCTCCTGATGTCCTGGCAAACAAATCCCCCAAATAAAATTGATCGCTCAATCCATGGATGTTTGTGGGACATTGCTGTGTGCAAACTGGCTGCCTCGTTTTGCTCACAAAATACAGTCACTATACTTTACATTGTAGCGTGTGAAGCACTTTGAGACATCGAGACAACATGATAATGTCCAGGCCAATGGTCCATCAATGGTCAAATGGTTAATCATTTCATGGTTGTTTGTGGGACATCGCTGTGTGCATTTGTGCTGCTGCAAATACATAATGTC